AAAGTTTTCTATACTTTTTGTTATTTTAAATATTGTAGACTTTGTGAGAATTTGCCAAATGTTTAAGTTTGATTTTTTTAATGATTTAATGACAGAGAGACAGACCCTTTATTCTACAATTTAAGATTAAAGAGTATATTATACTATAACTCATTAGATTTAAGTATTTTTGGGTCAATAATACAATACAATAGGAAAATTGACCGATATGTAAATCATGATGCTCAAGTAGTGTGAATCAAGTGGTGATATTTTTTATGTGTCATGCATGATAGAAATGTATCAATCAAGCTTAAGAGGACCGCATAGTAATAAGACTGGCAATATTATATGGACTGAAGATAGTTGAGAACAATATAATAAACTTCATGTAAGAAAAATGATAATATTTAGTTAGATAAGTGAACAAACGAGATAAAATATGATTAGAAATGAACGCATTAGGAATAAAAGTGGAGTAGCTCCAATTCTCAAAATTATATAGAATTGTACATTTTGACATGTGTGAAGAAGATTACTAGAATCCTCATATATATATCAAATGAGTCAATTAGTTAGACCCTGTTTATCATTTTGGGATCTGGACCCACATTAGATTTGTACAGGTACTCATTGGGTCTACTACCTGCTCATCTTTGGGTATTTAGTGAATACACGTGTTTCCTATAATCATGTGTATTATTTTAGACGATTAAAAGAAAAAACGATAATAACAATTACAAAACATAAATAAAGAATATATACAATTTTAAATTGTCACTTAAATATAAATCTTATTACTAAAAGTCATAATTTAAAGTAAGATAATAAAACATATCAATTGTCTAAGATCTCTACAGCAACATAACATTGTTTCACAATTTTTGATTAACAAACATAACATCAATATTTAACAATCTAACATCACAATTATGATGAAAAATATATTTAGTTATGTTATTATATATAAAAGTGTATGACAGATATTTTGTGTCTGTCGACACACATTCTTATTTTATGATATTAAATAATCAATTTTATATATTTCATTTTAGAGAATTAGAATATTTTTTGTATAGTATCTACTTTATATTACAATTTTTGTCTTTAGAATGTCTAACTTACACATTTTGAGAGTGTTTACTTAGGATTATATGATTTTTTTGTTGAATTAGAAAGTGTCAATAGCAAAATAGGAAAATATAAATTAACCATGATGGTGATTACATCATGTTTTGATTTTATATATAGTATAAATATATATAGGAATCACATATCTGGATAGTGACTAGTTTCGATACTTCCTTACCCATACTCAAACTCATTGAATAGTGGGTATTACACGTGAGTCCAAAAACATGGACTCGACCCAACCCATTATGGTTGTAGGTTCGAGTACACATTTTCATCCCTTTTCCCGAACTCATAATTATTTAAGTTTTTTAAAAGAAAAAAAATAGTTGAAAAGGAATACACATTTAAAAGAGCAGTAAAATCTCAATTCTTCATGTCAGGAAAATAAATCCCAAAATTATTTTACACCGTTTCCTTTTGATGAACCAAACAAATTTGTACATGTCCTTATTTGCAGGCTAAAAAAGAAACCTCCCTAATCATTCTACAACATTACACGTCCAATTTGTGTATAATCTCTATCTTTTTTATGCCTTGTTTTAATTTCTTCTGCACAATGTAGAGTTCTCTCAATATGATACCCTCCTCCAATACTAACTTCTCTCTCCAAATGGCAACAATAGCTCTCAAACACACTCACATTCACATGCAATTTGAAACCCATCATAAACAAAAATTCTAGCTCCAACTCATTCAATTCTTTTGTTGTTAATCCACCAACTTTTGCAAAATATGAGTTTCTGTAATTCCTGTCAAATAAGAAGAAGAAGACATTTTAGCATCATATAGATCTTAGCTAGTGTATTATTGTCAATGATGGAGATTGAAAGAAAACTTCTCAGTTTAATTAAACACAAACCAATTTATTACATTACATGTTTAAAAAAAAAAGCATTTTTGTACACTGCCAATAAATTTATATCATTTATTGTCCTGTGTGTAACTTGAGATACTTACATTTTCAATTAAAATACATAATTTATTTGTAAAGTATAATAAACCATAATATTATGACTTTATGCCCACTCAACCATCTCTTGCCACAAGTGCCTATAAAGTTATATTGAAGTAAAAACGAAAAAATAATGATTTTTTTATTTAACATTTCATATTTTCATTTGTACGGTACATGTTTTGAGACATTTTGGGACAAGATATCCCTATTCATAGTCAGGATTACTTTAATTATGGTGATTATGACTCTTGAAATGCAGAATGCAGTTATCACATTGTGATTTTTTTGCGACTAATAAAATAGTTTTGAATTTAAATCCAACGATCCAAGTATGATTCAATCGATGTGCCACATCATTATAATTACTATCATAACATAATTGCGGTATCACAATATTGAGTCTGGCTCCTCTCCATTATTGGAGAGGCCAGTACATTTTTAGATTATGACACATGACAATGGAAAAAATCAACGATTATGATTATCAATGAAAAAAATCAATTAAATTTTTTTCCTGAAAATCTCTCCCATTTTATCCCATCTTTCTTCTATATGTTAAAATCCCTCTTCTAACAAGCCACACTCATGGGGTAATGGGTTAAGAGAGGGAGAGAGAAATGTGTCAGAAACAAAACAACAACAACCATTTTCCTCTCTTTATATTTCTGACGAGATGCAATTATAGTGAATGCAAAAAGAATTGCACTGCACACTGCATTAAGTGGCTTTTAAAAGATTCCTAGAGAATGAGAAGAGAAATAGGAAAATATTTTCTACATAGAAGAGAGGTTTTACATTGGAAAGGGGAGAAGAGAAATGGGACAAAGAGGAAGAGATTTAGGGATTTTTTATGTATTTTAATTAAAATAAATATTCATTTTTTCTATAAAATCATAACAGTTTATTTTTTACATTGCCATGTGTCACAATCTAAGAATGTACTGGGCTCTCCAATAATGGAGAGGAGCCACACTCTACCATATTAGTATTATGACCATATTAGGTAATGTATTCAGCAATAAATGATGGAATACTGGCTCATCATTCATCATCAGTTTGTTAGAATTTCCTTTTCCCTACACAGTTGACTAATAACAAAGACAATAACTAATTTTTTGAGACATATAAACTTCGAACTGGATCAAAAACAACTTTACAGACTAAGACCAGAATCTACTCAACTGTTAGAATCAAATAATTATTACCCATAATTAAATAAATAATTGAGGGAAAAATAGATTATGAACATAAACAAGAAGGGTAAAGAGTTCTCACATGTCCTCCACATACTTAGAAGCCACCATTATAGTTGTTATGAGAAACCTATGCACATTTGTATCATTGATCCAAAACTCAGGATTGTTATGGCAAAACCTGTCAATATAAACATATGCTACTACATAGATAGAAGGTCCTGCCCTAGTGTACTTGAAAATTCTCTCTAGATAAGATTCAATGCTCATATCAGGGATCTCCTTAGAATCAAACATGTTTGTGTTGTTTTTCATAGCTTTAGACAACAAAATACTTGAATAGTTCTTCTCAATTCTCTTTGTTCTGGCCATGTTCCTCTCAATCAGTGAAGCTAGTACATTTATCACTAATGGGGTGTCGGAATCTTCTTGGTATGAAAATGAATACAAATCGTAGTGCAACTTCCTTGGGGATATTGTCATATTAGAAGAAGAAGAAGAAGAAGAAGAAGCCATGAATTAAATATGGAAATAGAATGTTTTGTAAGGGATATTGTATTTGTTGTTTATTGATAAGTAAGGAACATGTAACAATGTGGTTGTGTTAGTGTTGAAGAAGGTTTTAGAGGTGGACATTATTTATAAAGGAAGTTGGAAGTGACACATGGCATCAGAATTATTTTAAGACAAAAGAATGTATATTCCGAGCATGTAATTGTCTTATATACTATCAATATATCATATATGATTCATGTTTAATAATTATTAAGTCTCTATAAAAATAATTAATATGAATGAATGTGTATAAATTTTCATAATGATAAAATTAATTAATATGAATGATTGTGTATAAATTTTCATAATGATACATGAATATTATATTCTTATTTTAAATCTTGATTGAATGTAATTGTGGAAAATTATTAGAATACGGGGTCGATATGATTGAAGCAACGGAAGAATTCAAATTTAGGGATTCCTATGTGACTTTACTGATTAATGTTGTTCTCATGAATTAAATTTTAGACTTTTTAGTAATCCAACGAAGGATTTTAAATTACTTTAAACAACTTTTTAGGATAAGGTGAATTAAGAGAGAAGGGAAATGAATGGTAATGGTTTTTGGGCATTTGGAATTTATGGACGGTGGAAATTTTATGATTAAAAATATATAAATGAAGGCATGGACAAATAAATGTTTAGAAGAGTGCATCCTCTTTGAGATGAGAGGGTACAAAGACAAAACATCACAGCTAAGTTCTCTGTATCTCATAAAAAACAATGTAGTTAGTACTATTTCTCTATTTCCATGATACCCCTGACCCGCCGACAGTGTGGTGAAGGGTAAGTTCGGAAATATAAGAGATAATCATAATAGTAACAAACATGGATAGCTGGTAGGTTAGACGTTGGGTGTTTGGGCCTACATAATTAAAGTAAATTTAAATCACTAATAACGTATTGGTCTACTGATATAAAGTTCTGCTATATCTTTAGGATGATCAAAAATTTAAAAGTTCGATTCTTAAGAACCACATTTGTTGGAAGGAGTATCATTTGTAGTACAAAAAAACATTTAAATATTAATAATAGATAGATATTTTTGAATTTAATTTGTTATATTCGCTCTCTTTTAATTAAGAGAATAAGTGAATTTATTACATGAGATATTTACAAACTACCAAATAAAAGTACCACTTCTTTGGTTTCTTTTTAATTGTTTTCTAGAAAAACTAATATCTTCCTTTTTAATTTTCTTCCTAGAAAATCAAAGAAATATTAATGGGTGTTTCACTATTCTAACTTTGTATTTTAGGAATAAGCACCTTGATTGGATGTCTCTATCATATTCTTCCGAATATGCTTACAAGTAGATTAAGGAAGGTGCTCAAGAAGGTAATTAGTGAAACCCATACAACATTTGATCATTGATTTTCCTTTCGAAATCAATTTACTTTTCATCCAACGGATATGAATATAGTTATTTTGTATCATTGATTTCGTTTCTTTGAATGTTTGTATCTTATAAAAGTACATATTTTCTTTAGTTATTACCTCTTATGTAGTTGTTAGTATGTAGTTATACATATTGTTTCTTGTTTGTTGTTTATAAATTTACTATCTTTGAAGACATCTTAAGTGGTGTTGTTGCAGCTGATACTTCAGTTGGTGATTTTTAGTTTTACTCATTGCTTTTTCCTCCTACTATAGTTGGTAAATTGATAATATCTTTATTATTAATATTGTTTTGTTTTGTTTTATTTACATTACTTACACCATCTATACCTTTCTTCTATATACATCAATTGTTTTCCTTAATATATAGAACACAAGTCTGATTGAGAAAAGGGAAGTTTGTTGGTAATACTGGCAAGGAAGAAGAATGATTTGAATGTGTAAGATAAATATTTAAGAACGGTTACACAGATCTTTTGCACTATTTGACGATGCTCAAGATGTTAGGTGGTTAGATATTTACGAGTTAAAGATAGTTTGTTAACTTTGTATCATTCATTTTTGCTTGGATCATAAGTTCATTTCATTTGTGTAGCTTGGATCACAGTTCATTTCATTTGTGTAGCTTGGATCATAAGTTCATTTCATTTGTGTAGCTTGGATCACATGTCATTTCATTTGTGTAGCTTGGATCACAAATCATTCCATAGAATTGATGGCTAAGATGTAAGTTTAAAAAACTTAGGTCAATGAATCCCTCCTCTTAATTTAATGTATATAACATGTTCATCAATGCCACTTAAATATATATGAAACATATGTGTGAAACCAACTAATGCTCAGGGTGTCTTTAATCATCAAATGCACAAGAAATATGTGTGTTTTTAACTATTTTTTTGTCGTAAAATAATATTGTCTCGTGCGAATGCACAGGTAGTTGAGTAGTTTTGTTGATGAAAATATAATTATTTAATAAAATTGTACTTGATTGGTAACACATGTGTTTTTAATGATGTGAATGTACGGGTAACATGTATGTTTTAACTATGTGAATGCAGATGTAACATCTGTGTTCATAGCAATGCAAATGTGCGGGTAACATATGTGTTTTTTACCATTAAAATGCACGAGTCACATGCGTGTTCTTAACAATATGAATACATGTGTAACATGTGTGTTTTTAACATTGCGAATGTACGAGTAACGTTTGTTCTTAATCATGTTAATGCACATGTAATATGTGTTCTTAACCGTTTCACAAAAAAATACTGCCCTGTGAGAATTTATTTTAGAACTTAAAAGAAACATGATAATATATCATCCCTTCTCTTTATTCTCATTAATAACTTTAAATAGCATGAAGCAAATGTCCCATTAGAATGTATTGAATAGTGATATTGACAATCAAAACTTTCATTCTACTTATTAAATTCAAAAGCAATTCAGGGCAAGAGCACTGACTGTATTGTTGCCATATAGTAGCAGAAATTTGGCATGGAAATGTTAAATTCATGCTAGCATGGCGTTCTCAAATGTTTTCCACTTGTGGATGTCTCTTGTAAGAAATGTTTATGTTCTAGTTTTGGTTGGTTGTTATAAGTTCTTAGAATAGGTATGGGGTTGTAGAGTTCCACAACTACATGAGGTCATTTAAGCAAAGCTGGAAAGTACAACATAAATACTAAGAAATTGTTACATCCCACTCCGGAAGACACATCATGGTTGGGCTAAACCATCACGTGTCGACCGGAAATTAGCTAAGGCGAGCTCGTTCCAGACATCTTTGAATCCTGTTCGGACAACCAGATAATTCAGCAAAGTGTGTCATTGACCGTAAAGGATCCAAATGATTGTACATGAACTACTTATGCCATTCGTCTGTCATGTTGCCTGCACATGTCTGCCACACTGCCTAAACAACATAGATATATGCCACAGGTCGCACGCCACTTGCACACTGCACCCACATTTTTGTCAGACGACAAAGACAAGCCTAGAATACGGTTACTATGCCTACAACAGGCTATAAGTCAACTATCTATAGAGTACGGACCTGACACTAGTCGTCTAACATGGGTAAAGCAACAGGCTATAAGCCAACTATCCACAGAGTACGGACCTGACACAAGCCATCTAACATGGGTAAAGCAACCCCTATTTGTCTGGGTTAGGTCCCCATAAGGAGAATAATCTTAACTTTCTCATTTACTCTTGCATTATATTATCTCTTTTCTCATATATCTCCTATACTAACTTATACGCCGGATAACCTTTTCAGGTACTTCCCCAGACATTCTATCCGGATCTGAGATAGTATCTAGAAGACTTCTTACTCGACCAACTACTCGTTCAACCCAGATCTCACCATAGTAAAGAATAGAAATGATGTAATAAAACAATGATAAATAATGTCGATAGATTCTAAAAAATAATTTCTAACTCGTTACAAATTTTGTTCCTTACACTTACCATATTTTAACTACACATACAAATGGAGAAAAAATATTTTCCATATATTATAAATTAAAGCTCTATTTATTTTACAAATAACATCTCTTTTTTCTATGCAAAATTTACATATAACTTATCAAATACCTCCACCACTTAACCTATCTACTCTAAATTATTATGTATATAATTCCAAAATACAAATTATATTGTACAAGCACATTAATCCTTACACATTATATTGTACACGCATATAATTATATTATTATATCAACTAAAGTACACAAGTAAAGATTGAAAAGAAAATATTACATGAAAACAAAAAATATTTAAAAATTTAAGAATCTCTGCATTGCATAAGCTAAAACCTACTATATTATATACTCAATGCAATAGCTACTTCATTAACTGATTTAACTAATCTAATACCACTTCTTGCCCTCACTCCTTTTAGTCTCAACCTCTACCTCATGGTCATTTCTAGCATCAACTTCATCTCCAACAATAGCTTTTGTATTGGTTCCTTGTGTTGATGAGAAAGGTATGGTAAGAAGTTACATTCCTTCATTTGGGTTAGAAGTATACATCCCTTCTAACCATTCCCTAAATGATATGGACCTTGTAGGACTATCTTGTATATCCCCTAGAGTAGGATTTTGAGCTTCTTCTAATGGTTGATCTTCCACAACCTTCAATGAGAATAATGTGTATTAATCAATAAATCTGAAATCCTTACATTTTATATGGAAATAAAAGAAAAGAGTTTTGTTTATTGAAGTCACTTCTTACAATTAATAGTCATAAATAAAAAATTAAACATGTTATTATGGTTTCTTCATACAAAATATGTTATTATGGAAAATAATATTGAAACATCACATAGGGTAAAGAAGTTTTAGGTTACCTCTTGATGAGTTGAAGGAGGAGTGATGTTAAAGTTTTGTTGATGGGGTCTTCGAATATTATACAACGTAATGATTTGTTCGTAGTTATCAATCCACCACCTTTGAGCTAGCAATTGACTAAACTTTTCATGGCTGTTAATTGAAATCAAGACATTGTCACTCTTCTGTACACTATATAAAGATACATAAACATAGTACACATTGCAACTTAATGTTTTGGCTACATGTGGGAACGTTTACAACCCTCTAAAAACCAATTTGGTTTGAATGGTTTGTGTATGTTCTAATTAATTGTTCAAACTGCGGATCATATCACGTGATGCAGCCGCAATACCACGGTTATGATGACCATTGTTACCACATCACACCTTAATTACGGTGTGATAACACTGAACCACAACGATGTGGTTGCATTGAGCCGCAACGTAACCATATTGAATTGGACTGCATTTGGGCAATATCATACCGCATTAGGTTTGACACTAATCAAACTTATAAAGTTAAAATGAGGTTAAAGCTTGTTATTATCTCTTAACATACCTGAACCTGATTCTTAGAATTGTATTTCCACCATCAGGAAGAGACTGAAAGGTCATATGAACACCATCATCTACCTCAATAGTCCATTCCCTGAATCTCTCCTCTTCCACCTCCATTATTTCAGTGGCTGAGGTTGAAGTGGGTCTAGTTACATGAAAACTAGGAAATCCTCCTATAGGTATTGAAGGTTCTTCTGTGGTTGTTTGGAAACCAGAAAATTCCACTTCTGGTGATACTGTCTCTTCATGTTGTTGAATATTCTCTTTTGTGATAGGAATTGACCCAGTATTGCTTTTTAAGTGCAATGATCTTGAGACCTTAAGGGCAAGTTCTTTCATCTGCTTATTTAAAAGAAAACCATATTAACATGAAGTCATGAAATCATGAATGCACTAATGTTTTTAGTCATGTTTGTATTACAATTTTTTGAAAACATCACAAACCATATATGTATATAGTTACAAAATAAATGCAATGGGAGAAGAAAAAGGAAAAAAATAAGATACAAAATAGATATAAAGTGAGATACTATGATATATTAGGGCAGCTAATGGGGTATGAGGAATGAAAATGTACGCAATTTTATCGTGACCGCAAATATTGTTTTCAGGATTTGAACTCGTGATTTTATGGTTAGTGCTCGAACATCAGCATTAACACTATAGTTTAATTTGCTCTAATAATATAAAGTTGGTTTGGTTTGTATTCAACAAAAGAAGCTGCAAAAGCAACGTTTTTTTGGAGATAAAGGATGGGATTAAGAACCTGTGCAGTGAGGCTTTTGGATGATCTAGAAGACCCACTTTCATGTTCTTCTTCCCTCTCTTCTTCATTAATCTGCTTCTTCGAAGAAATGCAAGTAAACATGTTGTCTTCTTCGTTAACTACATAACAACAACAATTAGCAAACACTTATGGTTAAATTCCAGTTAATGAAAGTGTTAAAAAAATGACATTAACAGTGGGAAAGAAAAAGCAACATGGTGCTGTAAGATTTTACAATATGCAAGATTTAGGAAATGGTATATCGATTTTTTTGTAAAATTTTAATTTGTAAGAGGCTAATTTTAAGTTGAGAGTTAGTTGAGGCAATCACTTTCATTCAATAAACAGTGAAAGGGGTGAATGGTTATTTGTGACAAGTATATAGAAGACCTAAATGTGACTAATGGATAATTAAATAAACTGAACCATGGTAATAAATACTAATAATATTTTCAACCGAACAAAAATGAAAGCAATCTTCGACTAGGCTTATATTAGAATTATTACAAAACTCAGAAGAAAGAATCATTTTTTTTAAATTACGGCTGCGATCACACCTGTACTATGATTGTAGGAAAATGAAGTTTACAACTACAATTGCAGAGACTCATAAAATAAATATTGCAACTACAATTATCATTACTGATTACAATGATAAACACTCGAAAGAACTAACGAAAGACAATAAACATAAAGAAAAAAAATGGGGGCAAAGGAGAGAGTGTAAAAAAATCTGGGTTTATTTTTAGATTAAAGAACAAACAAGTCGTGGTTTGAAATTGAAACAAGAAAGAAGAAAGAAAGAAGAAAAATAATTTGAGCTGGATTTCTTATTACTATATGAAACTTACTTACTAAGCTAAAAGTCTATCTTTCACTCTCACACAAACCACTCTTCTTCTCTTTTC